CCAACGACCTTTCATACGGACGCCCCTAGCATACGCAAAATAATTGCTAAATAGTTAAAACGCTACTTGAAATTGTATGTAACAAACAAATAGAAATAGAGAAATACAGAATCACTAAAGAAAGCCTTACACCGACAAAATTGAAAATGTTGCAGACTCGGTTTTATTGAGCCTGTTCATGGACGGTACTGGTAAGTGCAAGTTATCGTCCACGCCCCCTAGCAACGGCTTAAGCAGAATTCAACATTTAACATGACAATGGTGAAATTTTGAATTTAAGAAACATCCGAAAGGGGATAAATCAATGAAAAAAAACTGGAAACAAAGTGATCCCTCGGAAGCATTAATCAAACAAAAATTACCAGAGAATTTGGGGTTTTTTGGTTGTAAATGAGGGGTAAAGGAAAAAACGTGCAAAAAATTTCCCCCACGCCCCTTGCACCGGGGTTGGGGGCGGGTATAATTTTCAAATTTAAAGATTCAAAGATCCCAAAAGGGCCAGAAAAATAAAAAACACCAGAAAATACAACAAAAAAACTTAAACAGATATAATTTTATTTTTAAAATTGGGTTTTTTACAAAAAAAAATTAAAATTTAAAAAAACCCCTTTGGGATTTAAAATTTAAAAATATTTAAAAAACGGAAACCTTTAAATCCCATCCAGGGCCCTTTCCCTTTTGCTATGATTAGGGGTAATTTCTAGGTTAAGCAGTATATAAGTAACCTGTGCCTGGAAGTTTTCTATATCTTGTTTGTTATCACTACATGTCCACTCATAAAGGATAGTACTATTTTCACCACTTCCAATCCGAACAGTTTGATTGCACGCCCCATTTCTGAAAGAAGTTATTTGTCGTATAAGCTCTGATTTTGATGGTCAAATTCAAGAGAAAGAGAACACATATAAACATGTTATTGTTATGATATGCAGTTTTATTTACTTACGAATCGGTATTTGTTTTGAGTTTGAAGTCACATAAAAATTGTAAAGATCATAGTACGACTTTTTAGCCTGCTCGTTCCTGAACGAATTCAGGGACACCTGATGTCTTTCATCATTGTCGCCGAATGACTTTAACAATTTCGATGTGACTCAAAGTTCAACAAAACAAACAAACAAACAAAATTAAAAATAAAAGAATTATGATTTTTATTGATTAAGCAGGACCACAGACCAAAGTTTCATAATATTTAGTATAAACGTATCCATGCTGAAGCAACCCACCATATGAAATCAAGCTTATTTAAAAAGAAAGTGGTAAAGTACATGCATATCATTATCAACTTTATGCGACACCATTACTAAATTTCTTTCAAAATTATAGTTTCGACATTACCCGTTGCCCGTGAGTATTCTGTACATTTTATATATATCAATATAAGCATCACAGTTGTCTATCTCCACGGAACAGTTGCAGCTTGGGTCAAACGGACTGATGGACGAAACTCCAAACTCTGTGTTCCAAATGTAGACCGTAGTGTTTTCTTTTGTTAAATTTTAGGGTGTCGTGGCCCGGGAAAACAACTCCCAAACCCTTTTTTCGTCTGGGAAATTTTTAAAAAACAAAAATTTTGACCAAAAAAAAAACTTACACTGATCATAATACAAAAGAACACTTAAAAATTTTTAAAAACAGGAACAAAAAATTTTAAAAAACATAAAATTTTTTTAAAATTGTTTTTCTTTCCGAGCAAAGATTTTTAAATGAAACAAAATATCCCCTGACGGAAATCTCTCCCCAAAAAGTGCCCCGGGGGAGAAAACAAAAACGGCCCCGGGTCTCAACGGCCCGGAACAGCCTGAAACCCCCGAGGATTTCCCCTGTCCGAACCCCAAAAATCTTTGTGTAAAGGGGTGCTGGGTAAATTTACCCCTTTTGGGCCCTTTTTCCCGGGGAAAAATTTTTCCCCCGTTCCCAAATCCCAGGGGTAAGCGACGCTGACACAACCTAACTGTAACTTGTAACATTGTAACACGAATGTGGCATTAGTGTCAATGTTAAAAATGTATTTCAATTCAATTTCCATCTAAATTATGCTTCATTATTAAGTTTCATTAAAATACTTAATTAACCTTTGACAGAATTCAAACTTGTATGCTTCAAAGAGTTGACCAAGGTGGATTAAGTAGGGGGCCAGGGTCAGACCCAAGAGTGTCTGTGGTGCAAAATGTTTGAATCTAAATGTTAACATATATTGATAATTTCAATTATAACGATACCGTGAGCGGCCAAATACATTAACCCATTACTTCATATACACGCCTTTTAACGCCTTTTTCACCCCCCCCCCCCTTTTTGTTGTCTCAAATGATGAAAAAATGCCTTATTTAGGCCCCAAACACTTGGTTTTGTTTGAGAAATGTTGTTAAAAAAGTGACCTCTTTTTCGGCGCGGCCCCCCAACCAAAAGATACATCAGGGGGTTGCCAGAAGGGGGATGTGCCCCCTTCTGTTTGGGGGGTTTGAAGGGGGGCGGAGTCCCCCTCATCGCCAAGAAAATTTTGGGCTTGTGAGAGGCTGTAAATGACCCCAGATTGATCATAAGGTAACGTGTAAGCAACGCTGAAAAGCATTTGACTCTATCTCAATCCATTGAGAAGTTGCAGCACTTTGAAATCAATTTTGATGGAAAAAATCAACGCAAAATAGTGATTTTTGGCAATTTTGAGATGTCCCCTCGTTGCCATGGTAACAGAAAATTTAAGCCTGAGCATGTTGTTGCAAGGGCAATGGTCCAGTCAACATTTGTGCCAAGTTTGATTAGTGTTGAAGCAGTTTTTATAGTATTATAGCAATTTGAACTTGTAACGGGAGACTTTTCAATGAAAACAGCCATTTTTCACAAAATGCTCATGAAGTAATGGGTTAATGAAAAAAATAAAAAAATCTACAAAACAACAATTTTTCTTCAAATTTATATGACAGGCCATGTTTAAACATGAAAAAACACGATTTAGGGTAATTTCAAGTATTTTCATCATTTTCTGTTAACCCATTACTTCATATACACGCCTTTTAACGCCTTTTTCACCCCCCCTTTTTGTTGTCTCAAATGATGAAAAATGCCTTATTTAGGCCCCCAACACTTGTTTTTGTTTGAGAAATGTTGTTAAAAAAGTGACCTCTTTTTCGGCGCGGCCCCCCAACCAAAAGATACATCAGGGGGTTGCCAGAAGGGGGATGTGCCCCCTTCTGTTTGGGGGGTTGCCAGAAGGGGGGCGGAGTCCCCCTCATCGCCAAGAAAATTTTGGACTTGTGAGAGGCTGTAAATGACCCAAGATTGATCATAAGGTAACGTGTAACCAACGCTGAAAAGCATTTGACTCTATCTCAATCCATTGAGAAGTTGCAGCACTTTGAAATCAATTTTGATGGAAAAAATCAACGCAAAATAGTGATTTTTGGCAATTTTGAGATGTCCCCTCGTTGCCATGGTAACAGAAAATTTAAGCCTGAGCATGTTGTTGCAAGGGCAATGGTCCAGTCAACATTTGTGCCAAGTTTGATTAGTGTTGAAGCAGTTTTTATAGTATTATAGCAATTTGAACTTGTAACGGGAGATTTTTCAATGAAAACAGCCATTTTTCACAAAAAGCTCATGAAGCAATGGGTTAATGAAAAAAATCAAAAAATCTACAAAACAACCATTTTTCATCAAGTTTATATGACAGGCCATGTTTAAACATGAAAAAACGCGATTTAGGGTAATTTCAAGTATTTTCATCATTTTCTGTTAACCCATTACTTCATATACACGCCTTTAAACGCCTCTAAACGCCTTTTTCACCCCCCCCTTCCTTTTGTTGTCTAAAATGGAGAAGAAATGCCTTATTTAGGCCCCAAACACTTTTTTGTTTGAGAAATGTTCTTTAGAAAAGTGACCACTTTTTTGGCGCCGCCACCTATCCAAAGGATACATGACGGGTGCCAGAAGGGGGATGTGCCCCCTTCTGTTTGGGGGGTTTGAAGGGGGGCGGAGTCCCCCTCATCGCCAAGAAAATTTTGGGCTTGTGAGAGGCTGTAAATGACCCCAGATTGATCATAAGGTAACGTGTAAGCAACGCTGAAAAGCATTTGACTCTATCTCAATCCATTGAGAAGTTGCAGCACTTTGAAATCAATTTTGATGGAAAAAATCAACGCAAAATAGTGATTTTTGGCAATTTTGAGATGTCCCCTCGTTGCCATGGTAACAGAAAATTTAAGCCTGAGCATGTTGTTGCAAGGGCAATGGTCCAGTCAACATTTGTGCCAAGTTTGATTAGTGTTGAAGCAGTTTTTATAGTATTATAGCAATTTGAACTTGTAACGGGAGACTTTTCAATGAAAACAGCCATTTTTCACAAAATGCTCATGAAGCAATGGGTTAAACAACACAAGTGCTGTGCAAGAAGTATCTTCCAAGGTGCATTGAAGTTTGATTAGTTGTTCTTATGAGTTTGATTCGTAACTAGAATGCAGTGATGTAAGTAATTTTAATTCGTGCGGAAAACAGAACAAGTATGTCTCTCTATTCACAAGCACATGCTAAATATGCGTCTTGATTTATCAGAAACAGTGTTGATGATGAGATGTCTAAAGCTCGTACAACCAATCAGAAACAACAGAGGCAGACATCTATAGTGCATTTTAAAGGTGCATAAATCAAATTAAACTATTTATCCTTAGTTTCCCCTAAAAACGATAAAAGGTTTTGTCCAATTTTAATTAAAAGAAATTTAGTGTGCTAAGGGTTAAGGAAACTTGTTTTCCTAAACAGAGTAGGAATTGATAGATCCCTACTCTGACCTTCCATTTGAATAACAATAGATTTAACCATAAACATGAACATGATTGTGCTCTTTTGTTAACAAATATGTTGTGGTTAAATTCTTATTAGAATTAGGTTAGGGATCTGTGCATACATTACCGAGATTGAAAAATCTTTGGTTGTAAGCACTGTCCATTTATGTTTAAAATACTTGTTCCGACATAATTTAAACGTATGAAAAAATATCGTTATATAATCTTACCCTCTATGCAGTAGTAATCAATGAACATGTAACGACTTAAAGTAGTAAGATTTCCTGTACAACTCGCGTCAGTAATTTGATTCTGTACTCCCAAGTAACAATTCTGTCGTCCGTTACAGCCTTCATGATAGGTTAAAGTTTCGAAATAAAATGGGAACAGACAGTCATTTGCTTGGTCATATGTACAGCAAACAGAAAAGTTGTGAGTATCTTCGTAATAATCAGGACAACCTGTAGATTGTAATTTAGAACCCACTGTTACATGTTTGATGGCAACGACATGACCATTACTACAGGAAGCATTGACGAAGTTTTTATCAGGATCTGACGACACTCCGGGACATGCCGATGGTGACTGTATGATTTGAAGATCCGATGGCTGGCAGGTCACTGTAAATAATTATATAAATAAACATATTTATATAAAAACATGATAAAAAAGGAAACAGATTCTGTTGTCAATGATATGCGTACACGCACACTGTAAACTGTTAGTCCCTTTAATACAATATGTACTGTGCATGTCATTTTACTTTGCTTTAATTTGTCATCTTATTGTATAGTTCTTCTCAATCTGCTTTTATTTCATGCCTATAGTTGCTACTAGCTTTAACTGTTTTTACTTTTCAGATCAGTTATATGTAAGTAAACAATTATGTTTTATGTCTTTGTTATTGTAGGTAAATAGCTTATTAGCTAATGTTTCCTGTAATTAATAAACCGACTAAAAATAAAGTTTCCTTGTACCCATGCATTATTTTATCGACTAATAGTTTTATAGTGACTTTTGTTTCAAATGGTAACATTGCTAAAACAGCTAAGATTCTTTCTGATAATGCATTAAAGGCAATGTACATTTTGTTAAGTCTTTTTACAAGAATACATGTCGATATAATAATGAAGCTTAAACTGTTTGATTCCCTAGCTTTTTTGCTTTATTCAGTGGAAGTATGGGGAATATGTTGTCCTAAAGAGGTTGATAAGATTCATATAAAATTTTGCAAAACCATATTATGTATGAAATAGCAGACTCCAAATAATGATGTTTTAGGTGAATTAAGGAGATTCCCCTTATTTGTGGGGATAGAGGCCTATATGGATAGCAAAATTGAGCATCTGTAAAAAGTATATGTGAATTTCCGCTCATCCAGATGTGAAGTTTAACAGCACATGTGAATGTATATGTCAATCGTAGGGTAAGTTTTCAACTTTTTAAGCAGTTATATAAACTTCAAACTTTTTTTTAAAGAAAATCGAAATGTGATTCTTCCCTCCTGGCTCTCCTCTTTATTACCCATTTTTGCATAGGATTTATATGCAGTCTTCATCAAGATATTCTTTTCGTTGTGGGTTTTATACTGTGATAGAACGGGTACGCTTCAGCCAATAACGAAATGTGCCAGGATCGTAATGGTAATAACTGTAATGTTGCTCGTAATAGTTTGCCATAACATTGAACATTAATTTATAATATCCCGATTAAACGATAAATAAACTTTTAATAAGCAAATGAACAACGATAAAACATCAAATTTGAGCATAAACGTAGTCTATAAGACATTAAAGGCTTCAGACCCTTTATCAAATCAAACCAAAATATAACAGCACACGCGTGACATCGCTTTACTATATAAGAGGCGACTATTTAAGTTTTCATGATATATTAGGAACAAAAACACTTTAAGAGATAAATTTCTTGAAAGCGAACTTGCTTCCTAGTTTCTAATAGTAAACAAATGAATATATTGAAAAATTCAGATGTTTTATGACACTGAAATGCAAGTCTTTAGAGCTCTCACACAAATACGTTTTGTCCAAATGGTGGTAGTTTTCACTCAGGATCACGGCAGTAACCTTATTGAATTCACCAGAGCACAATTCATCCATCCCATCGTTCCTGGGCAGGCTGTTAAGCAGTTTAACAGTTCTAGTTGCCTTCACTTTCGGAATGGACAGAAACTTCTGTACATACCAGAGCAGAGGCACAGTGCGAATGACCGTAGAAAAGATTTCATGATCAATCACAACGAAAGTGACCTGCGCCGTCCGGAAATCGAACCCGGGTCGCCCGTTTTGTAGTCCAACGCTATACCTATTGGGCTAACCGGACCCTACCTATTGAGGTTGTGCATGCCGAGATAAGAAAACATTGTCATTCCGTTTGAAAAAAATTTAAATAAAAACTTTTTGCAACAAAGCCAGATATATTTAAAATTGGTCATGAAGTGTTAGGCTGTTGTATGTGAATGTTTTATGTACTTGTGTTTTTATTGATGACTCGCAAAATAAATCGTGTTATTCCGCAGTAAATTACGCGTTTTATTCAAAATCATTTAAGACTCGGCTGCTTTGCAGCCAAATAAAAACTCAACAAGTTTCTACAAAATCAATAATGTTAAAATGCCTAAAAGTATTCTACTATACCTTATAAATCACAAATATCACTATATTCTGTCAAATTGGTGTGAAGTCATGCTATATGCTATACATTATAATGTTTATATAGAGATATTGCACTCTTACTCAGTTCTTTTTTTAGATTAAATCCAAAATCAAATTTATCTAAATCAACGTGTATATCCAGTGCAGGAATGTGAAAATAACACTGGCATTGTGCATTATTGTGCGATATATAGAAAGCCTTAATAACCGAAACGAACAATCAAATTTAAAAAAAATGAAATATTTTCCAAATTATTCATGTGTTATCACGTTGAAAAGTGACATTTTTTTTCGAGGTAACGCCAATTTCGTTACCCATAATCTGAAAAAAAAACAAAAACGTTGCTACCTCATAAAAGGTAATTCTACTCGAATATTTGCGAATAATATTAAACTTGCTTCCTTTTAGTATTGACTCTAGTAGTCTATTTCAATACTAATTCAATACTAATTAATATCGACAAAACACACAAGTCGCCTTCAAAATGGTAGTCAGGTAAAAACGTAAACATATTCCTAGAAATATTTGTAATACCATTTAAAGTATAATGTCATAGCAGCTGTATGTGCTTATTAAATCCTTTTAATTTGATTCACTATAGAATATTGTGTTCCTTTTACTAACAATGCTACTTGCTTCGGTCATAGCTCAGCGCAGATTCGACGTTATTTTTGCACAATTCTTGCATTTTTTTCACAATCCGGTGTTACTGGAATTACTGCGTAGCTGAAACTTGGCACGGCCTCGTTACCGCCGTAAACAGTTACCCTCGAGCTAGATATTCCCATCTTTACCGGCAGCCGGTGTAAGATCCTTAATTATAATCCGCGCAAGACAAGTCGCGTTGTTTAAATGACGTCATTCCCGCGCGCCTTTTGTGAATGAATTTCGTTCTTAGAATGACGTCCTTTTGACGATATGAACTAAGTTGTAAATTCAAACGCTACTATCAAATGAAAATATTAGTTCTTTCCGAAATGATTTTTCTGCGTAGTATGCAAGATGAAGAATCAAACACCGGCTGCCGTCACAGACCGGAATATCTAGCTCTCGGGTAACTGTTTACATACGGTAGTATCGCGGCCCTCAGCCGAGTTTCCGCTGAACATTTACCCGAGAACTAGATATTCCGGCAGCCGGAGTTTGATACCACAAGATAAAAAAACCCTTGAATTTTCAGTTTATTATATACATTTTTCTGTTTTTTATAATTTGCAATTTGAAAGACTTTCCTATAAAGTGTGTGTATTGGCAGAATTTAGAAGAAAGTAGTCAGGCAAGACATCAGTGAAAATACGGAAAGTATGTTTCACTGAAGTGAAAAATAAATTTTACAGTGAAAATACGGAAAATAAAATACACATTTTATTTCATCAATAATATCTCAATATGATAAGTTTACATCATTATTATATTTATGTACGCCGAACATGGCGATGTGCATTGTGAATAAAAATTTGAATTATAAATTGTATCAACTAATATTGATAAAACCTGTGGCATTAGTGTATGCTAGATGTTATTATAGCATCATATGAAAAGAAAACATAATAAGAATGGAAAATATCAATAAAGTGCGTTGTTATTGTTTCCTAAAAGGCTTTGTTAACTATCTTATCGCAAGGACAAATAAAACAGCCGCATATACATGTCGCAGTCCCTAATCAGTATTTATTTGCACTTGAAAATCACGAGGGTTTTTAGAATTTATTATAATAATACTTGTGTCAGGACGGTTGTAAGGCTAGAAAGAATGTTTTAAACCAGCCTACCTCAAATGTTTAGCCGTTTCTTTTAATGCCAAAAATATCTGTGGACAACAATTAAAGTTTTTGGGCTTTTTATATTGTCTATTTAAATCAGTTTTACAATAAAACACTGACAAATATTTGAAAATGATCATCGACGGGTTTCTCAACTTACGATCGGGTTGTCCGAAACACCGAATATTTCTTTAAAACCAATCTATGATGTTTTATGGTAAACTTCTAGAACATCACCAATATTAGTCAAAGTTCCGTATCATTATGAGCTTTATAATCCCTCATGTCAATTTTTTTTAATTTACGGGCGGATTAGATCACCTTTCGGCTCTATTCTCCTGTGTTATTAACCTATTATTGATATCAATATTTTATAATAAATAATTGCATATCAACAATTAAACAATAAGCTTACCTTGTGATATAAAAGCGCCAGTTAAAACACAGATTATCACTTGAACGTTTAATTTCGTCATTTTTAAGTTTATAAACAATCATATCATTTTTAATTTGAATAAAGACACTAACGGTAAGAATTGAAATCTTCACGCAACCGTTAAGGAGACTTGTTTTATTGTTATCTTATACAGGGGGTTGATCAAAATGTAATAAGCCAATCAATATCTTATCAGAAAATAAAATAGAACGGCTCCATGTATTCATGTATAATATCACACAAACGCGTAAAAAATAAATAAAGTGTTGGTTAATGTCATATCTTTAACCCAGGCACATATATAATGTAGCGCACACAACTTAAACTAAATAAAACTTCACTAAATTGCCAACAAAACAATGCTTGTTTTCATGAAGTTGTTTTTTGTACACAAATGCAAATAAAGTACGATAATGATTAAAGATTTATAGACTGAGAAGATTTGATAATATTTATTTTATAAGGCTACGCGTAACTATATTAAGTGATCTCTTAAAACCTTTTTAATAAATCACAGAACGTTAACGGTAACTAAAGCGCACACGAATTAGAAAAGAAATGTTTACAGACAAACTATAAAAGAAAGTTTGGGAATGTCAAAAGACTGTTGAAAGGTTTGATAATCTTAAAACAAAAATAGAAATGTTAAGAGCGAAAAAAAATGTTTAAAATGTCACAAACGTCCATACATAATTTTCTTCGTTATGTGTGGGAGAAGCCGGAAGAATAGAAAAAGCAAAACTTCCAAGATAATTCCAAGATATCTAGAGATACTTTGGACTCAAAGCAGTTCCACATAACAAGTAAACAGAGCAGTGGATTGAAACTCAGGTTTTTAAAGATGATTCTCTTGCTCAAAATCCGAACACTAACACCGAACCGCTGAGTGCAACAATTGTTTCCGAAATATATCCCGAACAAAGCCTAGTAATAGTAAAGAAAGACATTAATGTGATACCAAAAGAAATTTGGAATGAAGCAGCTTTCACTATATGCGGATCTAGACCAGATAGTGCAACTAAATAAAACAGAAGCAAGGAAAGAAGTAGCTCACAAAGAAATCATTTTAGATATAAGAAGACTCCAACCACCACACAAGAAAGATCGTTTCCAAGACGTTATCACGATTTATATAGCAGCGAATCTGACTGTGTGGATGAGAATATTTACGATAATGACATCAAACCATTAGGTCACGAAAACCGACATCCTCATAAAGTCAAATATACCGTTCTCGTGAGTAAGAAAACTAAGGTTTTTGTCCAAAGTGCGGACATAAGGAAAAGATACGTAATTAAGATTAATCAGACACATTTGAGTTTAAGACACCTACATCATGCTAAACTCAAGAGTGAACCATTTAGTTTGTTGGAAAGAGACATAAAAGTTCTGCTTGGTATAATTGCCAATTACCGGTATGATGAAAACAGGTACTCAACGATTGTAGACAATGGTCAAAGTTTAACAAGATCTAAAGCGATGAATGATTTATCTAGAAAAAGACAAAGAAAAAGGTCGATAAAAGTAAATGGTTCTACAGATAAAACAAAGAATTAATCGGAAATGATGCATACAATGATACTTCTGATGTTGAAAACACAGATGAAAGTTTACGAATTGTTAAAAGTACTACACGTAGATGCCCCAAAATGACACAAACGGAAAGCTTGAAGACAACATTGGAAGCAGTTCCGAATTCGTCAAAACTAAATCTAAAGAGTAAAAATAAACAAAATTATACTTAAATAGTAAACAGTAAACATTGGAAAGAAGATGCATTATATTGATGCGGACAATGTTGTGTTTGCCTCTAAATGCTATGGTGACGGTACGATGATGGACACCTTTTTTACTATAGTACTAAATTATATTTTATTAGACATGAAGATATTTTGTAACAGTTATTTATTGGCATGATTAAACAAAGACACAGTGCATATACATGTACATGTATATACATGTACGTGTATTTTTATGTCTTTTGAATATAAAAAATTTATTTTTTGTTTCAGTCGGAATGGGTTTTTTTCTGCAGAAGTCAGTGTATCATTATCTAATAATAATAATAATAATAATAATAATAATAATAATAAAGACTTTATTTAACGAGAGAACTCATTTGAACAAACATATCAATCTTCCATGAGGCCCTCAACAAGGAACAATATAAATTTAACATTTTCAAACTATTAAAATACATAAATGTAAAAAACATACAGGAGATTATCAATTTGTATACATCAATGCGTGATAAAAACCTCAAGTATAAGGTTTTAAAAAATGGTTAACAGATGTAGCAGACTTAATATAATCAGGAAGGCCGTTCCAAATACAAGATCCAGAATAAACAAAAGACTTACGAAATTGTTCAGTATTTGGTCTAGGGGTATAAAGTTGAAAATCAGATGATGAACGCAAAATGCGAGTATGAACATCTGACGATAAAATGAAATTTTTCAATAAATAGGAAGGCGCCTGATTATTTATTATTTTAAACATCATAATAGCTTTTTGAAAAACAACCCTCTGTGAAAAGGTCATCCAGCGGAGTTCAGAAAAAAGTTCAGCAGATGGAGTGTCATAATCTTTGTCTAGAATTAGTCTTGCAGCTCTCTTTTGGGAACTTAATGAGTTTATCTTCTAGAAAAGACGTACAGTTACCATAAATTATGCAACAATAATCAAGATGTGGTAAAATATATGCATTGTAAAACATTTTACGTACAGGTATAGATATGAATAATTTTATACGTGATAATAAATGTAACAATGAGTTACACTTTTTAAGAACAATATCAATATGGCTTTGCCAAGACAAGGTGTTATTAATTGTAATACCCAATAATTTTTCTTCAGAGCTACAGAAAATTTGCTCTGTTTTATATAAAATAACAAGGATTACTTTCATGAATATAATTTTTGCTTGTGTTTTGAGGAAATATACATGACCTTAGTTTTGTTAACATTGATAGACATGCGATTCAAATCACACCATTTGTTGGCATTTAAAAGATCAATGAGTAAGAGATTCAACTACTCTGTTTAGGGATACATCAGAGGTTGAAAGGGTGGTGTCATCAAGCAAAAATATCAGTTTCTGTTTTTTCCATAGACAAAGGCAGGTCATTGATATATATTAAAAACAGTATAGGACCTAGCACTGAGCCCTGAGGAACTCCAGTAGTTACTGAACTTGACTCTGAATATAAACCGGATATGTAAGTTTTGTTGGGTTCTGCAATCTAAATAGGAGGAAAACCAAGCAACTGATGAAGGGTCTAGGTTATACATTCTAAGCTTTTCAATAATAATAGAGTGATCCACAAAGTCAAAAGCTTTAGAGAGATCAAGGAAAATTGAACCAACTATTTTCATTTTTGTCAATAGCTGTAATCCAATCATCAATAATTCTAATCAATGCTGTTTGACATGAATGATTTGAACCTGAATCCAGACTGACGTTGGTATAGAAGTTGATTTTTTTTCTCAAGGTATTGCTTTAAATGTGAACTGACATGACAACGTTCAAGAATAAGTGAATATCAAGGGAAGTATGGAAATTGGCCTATAATTTCTTTTATCACTTTTAGAGACCTTTTTTATGTATAGGAATGACTTTTGCATTTTTAATGACTTTAGGAAATGTATTGTTAAGAATACTGTTATTGAATATAGTGGTAAGTATGGGAGCAATAATAATGAGCCGATAACTTTAGAAACCTTGCACTGAGACCATCTGACCCACATGACTTTGTAATATCAATCGATTTTAATTGGTTCAACACATAAGAGAGCTCTATTTTAGGTATTTTGAAAAGGGGTATATGCTGAAGTTTAGATGCATTTAGTTCAACTAGCTCAGGGTTTTTCATAACCAGTCTGATTAATGGTATGATGGGATTGGTGGAGATTCACAAATTGTCTGTTGAATAAATTTGCAGTGATTAAAGGGTCAGAAACCGGGTTGCCATCATCATCATCAATAAAATGTGTTTGAACCTTGGATTTGTAACCAGATAATTCATTTAGACCAGTCCATAATTTCTTTGGGTTTGTTTGTTTTTATTGATGGTATCATTATAATATTGTCGCTTAGAATCATATATGAGAGACTAACGTGTTGTTTCCATATGTTGTAATTATATGTGTCATTAACCCTATGAAACTGGTGTTTTGTTTTAATAGCATCGAGGATGTTTTGATTAATCCAGTTTGGTTGGGTGACCTTCTTTACGTGTTTTTTTCTGGTTGGTGCATGTTTTTCAAGGACAGACAAAAATTTATCAGTGAACAAATCTATAGAGTTATCTTGATTTTCTACAGATGCTACTTCTGACCAGGGTTGCTCTGACAATTCGGTTAAAAATCGATTTTCATCAAAGTGTTTTAAGAGACCGGAAGGTTATTGTCTTATGCATGGGACCTTTAACACTGATATTTGAAAGTTTGCGTGTAAGACAAATTGGAAAATGGTCACTTATGGATAAGGAAGGTACAAAAACATCGACTATATTTTGAGGCATGTTTGAAAATGCATGATCTATCAATGTAGCAGAGCTTGAAGTTACTCTGGTAGGAGATTCAACAAGCTGAGAAAAATTTACAGACTGCATTAGATCTAACCAAGATTTAGAACAATTATCGTGCTTCAAAATATCATAGTTAAAATCTCCAATAACAATACATTCTTTTTCCTCTAAAAATGATTTTTCTAAGGATATAGCAAAATTATTAAGCCACTCAACTTTAGAAGATGGTGGTCTGTATGCATAACACAATAATAATGATTTACATTTAGGCTGTTTAAGTTCAAGCCAAATGGATTCAATAGAAATACTTTCTAAATCAGATCTATGTACAAAAGATAAACAGTCTCTAACATAAATAATTAAACCGCCTCCATTGGAAGGCCTGTCCTTGCGAAAAAAGTGTAAAATTGTCCAACTGTAGTTCATTGTCTAGAAAATTTACATTTAGAAACGTTTCACATAAACAGAGTATATCAATCTTTTGTTCTGAAATTATAATTTTAAGTTCGTCTAATTTTGGGTACAAATAGTGAATGTTAAGATGTAGTATGTTCAACCCTTTAAATGCGTGTACCAAGAGTTACTATTCTTATTGGAGTCATAGTTTAAAG